AGTTGGAATAACATCAAATGCAAATTTCAGAGAATTCAATTGCAGTGTGTTTCAGATGCATAAAAACTGCTTAAATTGCCCTAATACGACCCTTTTCTGAAGTTTCACAAATCAAATAAAGGTTTCACAAATCACAAGCTTGTTTTTAAATATTCTGCAATGATCTAGTTCAGGTCTGAAGTGCATAGTGGTTGTGGTGGAAAAATTACGTGGGATGATTGCTCTTTAACCATTTCTTGAATCAGAAGCCGCAACTGGAAGCCATCCTCAGCTCCATCAAATACGGAGTGGTTGAGGAAAAATGTATGACTCCTTGAAATTGTTCCCTGTCTCTTTAAAAGCATCCTTCTCTTTACAATGTATTGCATCATCAATGTATGATTACCATTGTTGTTGGTATTGTTTTTCTTACTTGGTAAGATGTTTCGTTTGGTTCTGTTTTCAATAATTGGTGCAGAGGCCCACTACCGTTTTCTCCCCTGTACACAGGGCACACCTGTCTCCAGATCGGTTGGGACTTCCTGTGTAGTAGAGATGAAGTCCCAAGGAACATCCACAACACCACAGACTGCAGAAATTGGTATTCAGTGTATGCTTCTGACTCCCACCCTAGATGACCAGGACAGCAACGGCCCTGAAAGTGACGAGGAACCTGAGACTGATGAGGAGGACCCAGACTGGGCACCTGGCACAGAAGAGTCTGAGGATGAGGACTTGTATGTTGGTTTCGTAGACACTTTTCAAGTAAAATGATATTTCTATTATTAATTTCTCATAAATACTGCTAATGTAACATTGTCGCAAATGTTCTTACTAATGATCAATGTTGAACAGACACAAAAACTTATTGCTTAAGAAATACAGTTCTATCTTAATTGAAAAAGATTTTGGGAAGACAAACTTGCATGATTGTCGTGACTAGTATACATATCACAATTGAAAGTTGACCCAGCACTACCTGCAATCAATTTTAAACAGATTTATTTTTTATTTTTTAATGTTGCAGTGACCTCGACGACGTGGCCGAAACCTGCCCAGCGGCGGAGCGTAAATTCATTGTCTTTGAAAGCTGTTTGAGGACGCTGTTCTCTGTGTGTGCCGTCTGTTCCGGGGGCTGCACAGTGACGATGAAGCAGATCATGGGCACCATGGTGGCTGTGAGCAGTGTCTGCAAGAGGACAGACGGACACACCAGGGTGTGGTACAGCCAGCCGGCCCACAACAGCATGCCGGTGGGCAATTTGATGATGGCGGCAGCCACATTGTTCAGTGGGTGCTCACCAACAATCGCCCTGAATCTTTTCCGACACATGAGCGTTGGAATCTACAGTTTGAAGACGTTTTTCAGTCTGCAGCGCAGCTATTTGATCCCTGCTATTCAGAGAGTTTGGAACACCAAGCAGCAGGCCATGATTATGAAGAAAAAGGGAACGCCACTAAGACTGGGCGGAGACGCTCGCTGCTGCTCGTCAGGGCATACAACCAAATATGGCAGCTATTCCTTGATGGATATGAATACTGGTGCGGTGCTCACCACCCATCTAGTGGAGGTATATCCTTTTTTTTAATTCAAAATGACTATGACTATGTAGAGGAGACATCCTCAAAAACTTAATCTGTTATTTTGCAGAGAGACTCCTATTACTGCAGCCCAGAAAAGGAAACAGAACAAACTTAGAATCCAGAAAGAAACTTCCAGAGCAGGAACATTTAGTTTTTATTATTACTTATAAACTGTAGAGTACTCATTACTTTTATAAATTTAGAGCACACTTAGCAAGTCCAGAGAATACTTATACTTATCTAGCAATCCTGAGCTTGAGCACCTAGTTTACATACTTTAGATCAACATTAGATTCTTTTTCTTCATTTGCTCTTTCCTTTAGTTTGTTATTTTTGTTTGTATTTCCTTTTAATTCTGTAAAGCACTTTGCATTGCCTTGTTGCAGAAAATGTGCTATATAAATAAAATGACCTTTACCTTTATTATGGATTATTTCCAATCTCTTTGCATCTTTCAGTGCAATGAAGTGCAGAGCAGTGCAGCAGTGGAGTTGGAGGGCCTGAAACAGGGGCTCTGCTTCCTGGAGCAACATGGCCTCACTGTAGCTGAACTCGTCACAGACAGACATGTGCAGGTCTGCAAATGGCTGAAAACAGAAAAGCCCAACATCGATCAGCGGTTTGACGTATGGCACGTTTCCAAGGGTGAGTTCTGTGGTTCAAAACAAATTTGATAAGCAAATGCTTTGTTCTGAATACTGAGACAACATTGATGTGATTCAACCAGTTGCTATTGACATCCAAAACTAGTTGTTCACATGCAAAAGGTGGACCATCAGCGTAACGGCAAACCATTAATCTCTCTTTTCTGTTGGAAAAGACAGGTAACATCAATCAGCTATTTTTTACAGGCATCTTCAAGAAACTCGTGGCAGTGGCCAAAAAGCCAGGCTGTGCTTCAGTGGGGCCGTGGGCTCAGGCTATCTCCAACCATCTGTGTTGGACAGCAGCCACCAGCGGCGGGGACGCAGACATGGCTGTGCAGAAATGGACATCTGTGGCTCGTCACGTCTGCAACATCCACGAGGGCCATGGTGATTTGTTCCCGCGGTGCGAGCACGGACAGATGAGCAGACAGTGGGTGGAGAACGGTGGGTACTCGCAGGCAAATAATGCAACTTGCATGTTATCAGAAAAAAATACCAGAACAGGTGCTGAAGTGCTTAAGGAGGAGCATATAAAAGATAGACATGCATGGCTGAAATGGTTAATCAGAATGGTTGTGGTAGTTATTGTTAATAATCGTCTGAAAATGTAGTAATTAATTGTTAACTGGAGTACTGTATAAAAACTGTATAAAAACTTTATGCATTTTGCACTTAAGATGAATAAAGTTCTGTAAAGATGTTCTGCCCAGAAGAGCCGTAGTTTTAGCTTCGTCTGACTGAAATTTTGTAAAAATCAAAAGCTCCTATTATGCATCTTTTGCTATCCAATTATTAATCGGTTAATGCAACAACAATCATTCTATTAATCTGCAAATGATCAAGTATTCACTGTAGGAATGCTCTGTTATTGCATTTTAGACAGTGAAATATTTACTTTCTTGTTTAAAAAAGGAATTCAATTACTTATTTGCATATTTGTATATGCAAATATTGTATAAAATAGGATCAAAGGCTTAAATGACAAATCTGCAGAATGTGCCACGTTTTTATCCGATTAATGATCCCAATAATCAATTACTAAACAAATTTTTAGTTGCAGCCCTCCATTGAATTGATTTCCAGTGAATTTTTACTATGAGCTTGTATAAGACCCCCTAATGTCTGCATGTCGACAGGCAGCAGAGCCCAGGAAGAAATCCAGGCGGTTGTCCTAAGCTCCAGGCTGCTGGCGGATGTCCGCCAGCTGTCCTCTCCAGAGCAGACGTCGTACCTGCAGTCTTTTCATAACGTCGTCTGCTTCTTCGGAAGTAAACATGGACATTTCCTTCGTTCCTCACTGGAAGCAAGGTATGCTAACCGTTTGTTCGGACAAATAAATGGATAAGTAGATGGGTAGAAAAGAGCAGATGGTCATTTTGTGAATATGTTGCTTGAGAAAAAGTGATTTTACATACAAATGCATCTAAAAACATTAGAATAACATGAAAAAATGGAAACTAGTTCTTGTAATGTAAATGATTTTTGCTTTGAAATAAAAAAAAAAGTAATATCTGATTCAACTTCTTTATTGTATTCTAACTTTTTTGAGATGCACCTGTGCTTGCAGACTGATTTTGGCAGCTCTCCACTTTAACGAGAACATGGCGAAGGAGCAGGCCAGGAAACAGGACAGGACTCAGCGGTGGAAGGTGTCCTATCCAAAGATTAAAAAAGGTGGCGCTGTGGTTCGGCCTGTGAAGGAGTCTGACACATACGGTGAGTTTAATTCTTTAGTTTGCAACAAGATATCCAAAGCAAAATCTTGCATGAATCATCATCTGGAGCTTATTTCTGAGTTTGCCACATATGGCAGTCAATATTTGCTTTATTTTTGGGAATATGATTTTGACTTTTACCCATAATGCTTCTATTGTCCTGTCATTCCAGACTACGTCAGACACCTGATGGAGCTTGTGTGGCAGATGCGGCTGGAGGTTCCCTTCTATGAAGACGTAGTTACAGAAACTTCTGTTTCTTAGCTCTGGTTGTGTTTCGGGTCGTTGTCTTACATTTGTTTCCAGCTTAGATAAAATTTGCTCTTCTAGTATTGCTTGTTTTAAACTTCATCATTTTTCCCATCAACTCTGACCCATTTCCATAACCAGGTTAAAGAAAAGCAAGCCCAATGCATGATGCTGCCACTACCATGTTTTTGCTCTTAGAGTGGTGTGTTCAGGGTGACACACATTATTCATAAAGGTCATAAAGCTACATTATTGGCTCTTATTACATTTAAGGTAATTTGTAATTCAGCCCCCATTACATTTATTAGAGTAATGGGGGCTGTATACAAATGCTGGCAATCGTCCCCATAATTTTGTAGCTAAAAAATTGTAAATCTACATTTAATTTTCCCTGCGTTTCACAGTTATGCACATATAAAATCACGTTAAATCCTAGAAAATGCACTTGGGTTTCTAAGTAAAACCTTATTTATACATCATCTCTCAAGATACGAAATCACAAAGTGCTTCACAACAGTCAGCAATGCATAAAAAAGAAACTGTAATAAAAAAAAAGAAAAGAAAAGCAGATTTAAATGTGTTTCTAACTGGCTTTTAAAATAGAAGTCGGAGGATTTTGGTTTAACCTTCAATTGGAAATCCTGTTTTGCAAAAGTGCTGCAGTAAATTGAGAAAATGTTAAAAATTCTAGGGCTATTAATACTTTGCAAAGCACTATATGTCCCAATAAACAGCATTTACTGTTAAAAAAATGAAATAAAATACGAATTCTTTCAAAGACAGAAAAACAAACAAACTTCTGGAACAAAATGCAAAAACAACTTGATGTTTGAAAAATAATTTATTTGCAATAAATTAGATTTTGAAAGTGTGATAGAGTTCATGTGTATCCTAAAATTTAAAGCCACCGATTTACATAAATGTCACATTTTTATTTACAGTCTTGCAGAGTTTCCTTGAGAGAATGAAGTGGCTTTTCTTACGTCGCAAAACATTTTAATTTAATTGTACTTATATTTTTACAGCATGTTTCTCAGAGAGCGGTGGCTCCAGCTTTGGGATCCTTTAACGTCTCTTCTGGTGGATGAGGAAGAACAAAAAAAAAAAAAAAAACCTGGATATTGAATTATTTAATTTGTTTTTTTTCTGATGTCGCAAAATTATTGCAGTCACTTCGAAGGTTCTCTGAAAAACAGCTGAAATCCTGTGCAGTTTGATGGGTGCAGCAGTTTTCCTCCTAATGTACAGTTACTAATAATTGAATTCCCAGCCCTGAGTGCAGTTCATCTGCTTCCACAAAAATCACATTCCATGTTCACTCTGCCTGAGCACTTTGCACGCTTTTCAAACGCTCCGACAGTTTTGTAAATACTCATCATTAATAAAAAATTAGCTGAATCTTTTAACAGTGATTTTGATGTTTGTTTTTTGTCTGGGTGGAATGGTGCAAAAATCAGATTCAATAATATTTTTAAACTAACCTTGAATTTGTGCAGGATTTTGTCTAATCCACACAGGGACAATATTAGATATTCAGTCTCAGATATATAAATACACCTTCACTGATATTTGATTAAATGACACCATCCAATTTTTTTAGCCATTAAAAAGTTTCTGGTGTAATTCTGGCTGAATTTGTGACCATTCTGCACAAAAATTGGTTGGTTTCTTGTCACATTTCTTGGCTTTTAATCCAAGCTAAATACTTTTCTATGTGGTTAAAGTTGGGATTTTCCATTATCAAACGAGTTTTAATGAGTGTTTGGGACTATTGTCTTGTTGGAACTCCAAACTGTACCCTAGACTGAACAATCTGACCGAAACTATCAACTCAAATGAAAAAATAAAAGTTTACAATGTCCAAGCACAATCCGGTGCAGGTTTTTCATAAACTGGCAACAATAATGTAATTATTTACAAGAATATGAATCAGAAAAAAAAAGAAGCATCTGCTCAAAGTGGACAACTTCAAACTCCACTGAAATAAGCTGCTATCCATATGAACAAGATAATCACATGCTTGGTAAAAGTTTCATGATTAAAGACAAAACTGGTTGTTCAGTCGCGGGTGGTGCTTCTACCTGAAATCGGCTGGTAGATGGTTTAGATCCAGAAGTTGGTTGTGGAAAAGATGAAGTGAGTTCTGATGGAGTCCCAACATTAATGGATTAATGGACCGCCATGTTTAAGAGTTAAGAGACAAGTCTGCAGAAAGAATCCAACTAACTCAATAGAGAGCTATGGAAGATGGAAGACTGAGGTGTGTGTCAGTCTATAGTGTGTGTGTGTATGTACACACACACACACACACACACACACACACACACACACTATAGGTACTTTTGATATTCTGTGGATTAGCAAAAAACGGCATCAAATCCAAAGTTTTTAAACAATTTAATTCAGTAAAATTGCTTTAATTATGATTATCCCACCCTAAATAATAATGGTTCAATTGCTCAAAAAAAACATTGTTATGATATTTAATGCCAATAAGAATGTAAAAACTTCTGACTGGCCACAGTGTGATAATAAACTAGTCTGGATTATTAATGTACTTAGAGCCATTTAACACAGAGCAAGTAGTGTTGTTGCACAATAATGATAGTATTTACAGTAATGAAATCCCTTTGAGTACCTGACCATTTAAAACTAAATTCAGATTGAATAAAATTATTGCCCTGCATAAAAAGTTTGTCTGAACCTTCAAATCTAATATGATATCCCACAGAAAACAACTACATAACACAAAATTATTATAAACGCCATATCTTTTTTGATTTAGGGTATAAGTTAAAACATGAAACAAGATTTGTTTTTTAAGCGGATATAAATGCACAGCACAGTTCAGCTGACATAGATTTCTGGCATGTTGCCTAAATGTATTTAAAAAGAAATTTGCATAGAAATCACGCCTGTCATTAATTTACAGAGTAATGCAAGTAGAATGACTTGGTTTTGGCAAGAATAAAATAAATAGCATTTAAGAGACACACATAATAATAAATTATATTTTTACAACCTTCAAAATTAAAAAAAAAAAAAAAAAGCAGAGAACCTCAGTCCAAAGTGTATCCAGCAACATCACACTGGTGTTTTTACATAATTATAGTTTTAGAGTATTTCCACCACCCGTCTTAATCAAACACAGTAGTTTGTGTTTAAATAGGAATACAAAAAAAAATTCACTGCAGCGTTTATTTTCACTGAGCAGCAGACTTCTCGCCAAAGAAAACTGAGTTCACCATCCCATTTTAGATTAATCTCATGATTTTTTTGATTTTTTTTGTACTGAAGGAGTACAAGATTAATTTCAGAGAGTTTTCCTTCCAGAAACATCCTTCCTTCAGGAAGTGCAGGTTGTAACCCACTGGGATTGTCAGCTTGTTAAGGGCTGATCACAGAGCCTTTAATAATCCCTTTCATGATTATAATCAATTATCCACAGAGCTCGCTCCTCCGTTGGTAGCAGTGGCCTTGCCTTTCGATTTGCCGGACGAGCGGAAGGAGAAGCGCTTGATGATGCGCCGGGAGAAGCTGCCAGACTTTTTGCGGGTGGAGCCCGCGGCCGGGGCTGCAAAGTTATTGCCCATGTTGGAGATGTCCTCGTGGGACTGGCTGAGACAGGGCTCCTTTTCTCTGTGTCTCCTGCGGAACAACAGCTTGGAGCCGCTCTGGAGGAAGCCCACTGCCGAGAGTGGACAGAGGAAAACACATCACTCACCCGCAGAGCCACATAATGACCGGCTGATTCCTGACATAAACCCTTCGTTGATTTAATTTATTAGCGCTAATTATGTTTGCTGAACAGGCAATTTAATCTGGACTCTGCACATGTTGCACTACAGCCTCTAGAGGGCAGTGTTTGCTC